CTCATTGCTATTTGTTTATCAATAAAATTATGGCAAAAAAGAAAATGTATAATTTCAATATTATTTTGAAAGAGGAGTATACGTAGATGTAGCTACCATATTGGATAAAGTTGTAAAGATTTTGCTTCTGGGAATTACAATTTAGGAATACGGAGAGGTGAACTACAAAGGCTGCTCTTCTCTTAAAGCATATAGTTTTACAGGGCTTTTAAAAATATCCATATATATTAATGATATAAAATTAAGGTTGAATTGGAGAAAAGTGGAAAAACAACTCAAATTTCCTAAATCACATTGATAATGTTGAAATACGACTGATAGCTCCTCCAGATCAAAGGTACCTCTATTTGCCAAACCACAAAAACTGGGAAATAAAATTATATTTTAGAAACTGAAATCTTAGGATAAAGAGTGCCTATGAATTTAAATTGTATTGAATTAAAATGAAATACTAGTGAGTAACAAATACTTCGAATTTGTTTTTCAGGAATCAGGACTATCTCTGTGGATAGGAAATAAATTATCTCCATTAGGTTCATTGCCAATATGGCTAGTCATTCTGATATCTTCTTTGCTTGTCACGTCTTTGACAGAGGTAGCCAGCAATCCAGCTACCGTTACCATCCTTCTCCCTATATTATCTCCACTGGTGAGTACTTCATTCAGAACATTCTTGTTCTCTTCATGCAAAGCATAGTGTTCATTGGACTCTAGGGTGCTAGTTCTCATACTGTGGTATGGTATTTTTTATGGTCTAACTGGATCTCCTACAAGGAATGTAGAACAGTCTCTATCAGTTCCAAACTTTCTAGATAAGTTTGACTAAAAATAACTTTTCCATATTCTTCAGTGAGTCATTTACTTTCTTTCTGCTATGTTTTGTTTCCCATTTCAAATGTGTCACTCTAGATTCATTCCAGCTCTCTAAGACTGAGGAGTCAGCCTTTCCTGACAAGCTTTGTATTGAGATTTGTAACACGTTTCTTGCTCCAGAACATGGTTCTGAATTTGTGAGCAGCGAGTCATGAAAGTGTATTCAGGGGTCTGGAAAACTATTCCAGAAAAAAAAAAACTATTCCCTTGAAATTGGAATATTTAGGCCTCCTTTTCTGCTGTGCAGGGAAATAGTTGTTTTTTGCTTTTTGTTTTTAAGGAAATAAGAAAGTAGCTTGCTAAGAGAGAAAGAGCAAGACTATTTTCTCTTCTTTCCACTTAGTTACCAATTTCAAGAGACAACTTTAAGAACAATGTTTATCTCATCAAGATGGAATAATTTGGTAAAAGCAAAGCACTTTGTATTAATAAATCTTGTCTCATAAATATTGGAAGAGGAAGCAGGAATATCCTTCTGCAATTCTGCTTCCAACCCATAGAGTGTATGCTATAGCTCTTGAGCTACACCTTCAAACTGGAAAAGAAATCACAGGCTGTTCATAAACAAACAATGTGTTGGCAAAATGTCTTTTTCTCTCTTTTTTACTTCTTAAGATGAGATAGTCAGAAAGTGATGTGATTAATTAAGAATACTAATACATATTCCCTAATGGCCCCTGAGCAAGTTTTAAATTGCATTTGTCTTGGGAGCAATAAGGTTGGTGGTATAACTAGAAGCTCTAAGTCAGAGGAACCTAAGACCTTACCTAAGCTCTCTTGCTTGCCAGCTGTGTGCTTGGATAAGTTCCTTTAGTCTCTCTGAGCTTGTCTGTTCATCTGTTTTTTTGGTTATTGCAGCCATCTCATGAGATTGTACAACAGTAAAATATATATATATTTTTCTGGAAATATATATATATATATTTCCGGAAAAAATTATACTTTATTTTGTAAATTAACTTGACTATAATGGTTAAATAGCCAACAAAAAAAACATGTAATATGGGTGTGGTGATACATGCTTGTAATTTCAGCTCTCTGGAGGTTGAAACAGGAAGAGCACCATGAGTTCAAGTCTATCTTAAGCTACACAGTCAGTTTAAAACTAGCCTGAACTACATATTGAGACCCTGTCTCAAAACAACAACAAAAAATGGAAACAAGAATAAGAGGAAAACAATTTTCTAAACAAGTTATCACTTCATTTGTACACATACAATTAGCTTTCAACCTACTTCAGGAAGGTTTTTTCTAGTTGCTTATTTCAATGTTTGGTGCCTACCTTTAAGATTTTGCTTCAGCTTCTTTTTCTTTTCCAATAGGCTGAAGCCATCCACGTGAACCCTCTTTATATTTTGCTGCCTTCTACTCTGTGTACCTCATTTGCATTCCTTCTACCAGTAGCAAATCCACCCAATGCGATTGTTTTCTCATATGGCCATCTGAAAGTCATTGACATGGTGAGTTAGCTAAAAGAATTTTATCAGTGACAATACACATTGTGTGTGTG